ATTGCTGCCATGTTTTTGAAGCACATGAGGAAGAAAAGAAATGGGGAATGAAGTGCTTACAACTTTAAAAGCTTATAAAAGCCATGTGCTTATTCTTTTTAAAGAATTCAATGTTTAAAAAATCCATCAATTTCATATATATATATATGAATTTTCTCCAATTGATACATTCCTCAAGATCACCAGAAAGGGCTCAAGATGTAAAAGTTGCTCCAAACATAATCTTTTAAAAATGTTCATGTGTAATTTTGTATACCCATGGTGCTGATTGACAGAAATATTGTAGCATATAATGAGTGCAAAGCCTTGGACACAATACCAAGTTGGAGAAATTGAAATAAATGTGGTCAAAAGAATTACAAGATATTTAAAGTTTTGACCTTAAAGATTTCTATTTTTTTTTTTTTGTAAAATGATATACCAATGCCATTTCACTCCAGCAAAAATGTTAAAGATACATAAATATATTTAAAATCTATTATGGAAATAGGAAATGCACCAAGGTATGTTCTACCCTATGTGGTAGACATGTGATGAAGCAAAAAAATAATAATATTGGAGACAGATACAAAACAAGAGATTTTGAAACCAAAGTGCAGTAAGAACCAACTTTATTTATATTGGGATTTCCAAATGAACAGACAAAGAACCTTGAATTTCAAGATACTGCATTACATTATTCCAGCAGTGCAGAGGAAAGGGGATGGATTGGCCCCAAGTTATTCCCTTTTCTGGTCACTTTTGCAGATAGCCACAAAACTCTGGGAGAGGTTCTGGCCAGTAAAGGCACACAGTGTCAGCAATGGTAACTGATGATAGCCAGGTATCTAGTGATGGTAAAAAGAAAGATAAAGTTATCACTCGACTTGAGTGTGGATCCTGTCTGCGGAAGAAAAGGGTGAGAGGAGACATGCAACCTTGTTTACATATTTGAATTAAATATTTAAACATGGTTGCATGTCTCCTCTCACCTTTCTCTTCTGCAGGCAGGATCCACACTCAAAAGGATGTGAAAAGGAAGAGGAAACAGGCTTGGTTTCTTCTGCTCTGGGGACTAGAACTCAAGGAGATTGCACCTGAACATTAGGAAGAACTTTTTGACTGTAAGAAATGTTCAAGGGTGGAACTCTCTGCCTCAGAGTCTGGTGGAGTATCTTTCTCTGCAGATTTTAAGCAGAGGCAGGATGGCCATCTGTAATGGGTGGTTTGAGTGTGCTTTTCCTGCATGGCAGGGTGTTGGATTGGATGGTCCATGTGGTTACTTCCAATTCTATGATTCTATGATTCTAAGGTGACAGCCCTGTGGGACCAAACCAATTTTTGCCTGCCTGATCCATAAGATCCATCCCAGTGCTACTGTGGGACAGATACAGAGTTGTGGTTACCTCCATGGTCAGTCTGGAATATTTTTAACCTGAGCTGGGACAGATTTTGTAGATCTAGATTAGCTCTGAGTCAGAGTAAGTCCCCATAGTTACCATTAGATGAAGGTCAGTAGTTTTAAATCAAGTAATACCTATAAATCTTGAATGTTCAGGAATCCCAAGGTAGTAGTAAGTAGGCTTGTGCAATCCAGGTAAACCACAATCTGTTTTGGCCTCCTGGATTTCGATGGGAGTCCTGATCTGTTTTTTGGGAGCCTCCTGAATTCAGGAGGGCAGAAATCCATTTTCAAGCTTTGAAGTCAAAAGATTAGTTTTCTATCCATTGGGGGCAATGGGGGAGGGACTTCTAATAGGCTTCCCTTTCCCATCATTTTAGACATTATGTTTGTCTTTAAGACAAAAGCATCAAAGTTAAGATCCCACTCATTCTGTAATCCTTTCCCTTCTGGTTGTAGAGGAGACCAGATTTAATGCTTTCTACTCTAGAGGAGACAGGAGCTGCAGGCCTGTATTCTCTCTTCCTGCAGCAGGATGTTTTCTAAGGCATTTTAAAGAGGCTTCCCATTTCCCAGGGAAGGAACAGGGATCTACCTAGAGGTATCCTACCCAGGGCTTCCTTTAAAAAGCCCTCCCTTCTCTCTTGATTTGGAGGCATTGCAGTGGTGCCTTTTGACCACTCATGCTTTTCCTTCTAGCAGCTGCCTCCCTCCCTGCACTCCATGTGTAAACAAAAGCAGATGGTTTTCAACAACCATTGCTCTATTGCAACCTGTAAAAAATGGTGGCAGAACCCATGCCATTACAAGCTTCCAAACCAACTGGACCAACCAATTGAGCCAAAGGCAAACGTCCATAATGAATCTGTGCACAATCCTAGTATTAAGAAGAAAACAATACAAGCAGGAATATACTGTGATGGTCGGGTGCTATTTTTTTTAGCTCATAAAAGATTGTGACCATGCCTGTGAAGGAAAGAAGGAAGAAGTGGATGGTTACTGTGAAAGAATGAAATTACTAGGGACTTTCAGCCTTCTATTCCCAAGACTGTGCCCAGAGATGAATAGAGCTGCAGGAGAAGGCAAGGAAGAACTGGGCTCCTTGGTTTGACATAGAATAAATGTTATATTTCAAAAAGGTGTAATTAGAAGGAGGTAAAGTTAACATTTCAGTGTTCTTCATGTAAATACAAGACTTACAAAAGTCATAAGTGCATATATAACTGTTTGTGAAAAGTCAGAGGGCATATTTCTAATTCTGGCATGACATCCTGAAGTAAAACACAGTGATGTGAGAAATAACAATATTGCAACCTTCTCAATATAATACTCTCCATAACATCGTAGAGAACAGCTGCTAGGATGTCAGTAAGGTGATGAATCACTCTGAAATTTTAAAAGAGCCGTCTAAGGTGCTGAATCTTATCCTACCCACCCAAATAAGTTCAGCACCTTGAATAAGTTTATTTAAAGTATTGGCTACAAAACAGACTAAAATTTCACACTGACAAGATGGGAAGATACACATTCCTTGAAAAGATGATGCATACTCTGAGAAGAGAGTAAATGAGATAAAAAAAATTATCTCAAACATGGTGACTATACCTAATGCATAGCCTAAGGATTTTGAAAATACACAAACAAATCCTTAGCTCTTCACATTACCGCAACTGATATCCTATCCTCTGTTTTTTGCCTTCTTGAGTTATTATTTTATTAGTATTGAATAAATCGGAGGCATAGGTGCTGTTTCCCTGGTTACCTAGGCTTTTGTACCATTTTGTCACAGAAACCATCTTCATTTGAAACATTTATTCATTATTTTTCTAATAAAGTTCATGCAGTTTCATATTATGTTGCCATAAAACGATGGACGTATTCTTCTTAATAAACACACATTTTCCCCCTCCCACACTTTTCTTTTCTTTTCTAGCTTTTACTCAGCTTTCTTGGCTTCTGTGCTGTGGCCTCTCCTAAGCCTATGAGAAATACAATAGCACAGTCTCATTTGCAAAGCAAACCTGTGAAAAATCTGGAACAGCAGCAAGAACAAAATTTAAAGTTACAATGAACCAGATGAGAAATGGAATGTCACCTTTTCATAGATCAAGCTGTGGAATACATTCTTCCAAGTTTTGGTTGCATATTAAAAAAAGAAAAAGAAAAACACTGAAGAAGCATTTAGATACTGACAAAGATAAATGGAAGACATTCAAATTTTGTGAGGCATTTTTCCTAGCCAATTTGACTCATTTTTGGATGCCTAAGTGTTCCTTTTATCTCATGTTAATTATTAATCACAAACCAACCGGAGTTGGAAAACTATAAAAGCTGTCAGCACAGGGAAACTTATCTTATGCTTTTTAATTGCATCTTGGGATATTTTGTCTTATTATTCATGCAAAAAGAGGCTCAACTCAGCTATGTGCTTTAGGCTTGTGATTAATTGTGTGTGTGAACCTTCTTGTGAAACTTAGTCATTCAAATAAGGAAAATCCCAGTGATAAAATTTGTAGGACCAAATCGAAATCCCGCTCTCATTTCTGACTTTCTATAGAATAATTTAGATGAATAAGAAAGGGAAATGACCCAATCAACTGGTAATGTTTGTTGTTGTTGTTGTTGTTATTATTATTATTATTATTATTATTATTATTATAACATAAGGAAGGACCATAAGGAAGGCTGAGCAAAGGAAGATAGACGCTTTTGAACTATGGTGCTGGAGGAAAATTCTGAGAGTGCCTTTGACCATGAGATCCAACTAGTCCATACTCCAGAAAATAAAGCCCAACTGCTCACTGGAGGGAAGGATATTAGAGGCAAAGATGAAGTACTTTGGCCACATAATGAGAAGACAAGAAATCTTGGAGAAGACAATGATGCTGGGGAAAATGGAAGGAAAAAGGAAGAGGAGTCGACCAAGGGCAAGATAGATGGATGGTATCCTTGAAAAGACTGGCTTGATGTTGAAGGAACTGGGAGTGGTCACAGCCGACGGAGCTCTGGCATGGGCTGGTCCATGAGGTCACAAAGAGTCAGAAGCGACCAAACAAATAAACAACAAAATTATCATCATCATCATCATCATCATCCAGACTAAACTGGGTTGGCAATTTTTCTATAAAGGATAATGATCTATCTGTGTCAATAGAACTCCAGATAATTTCTTCACACCAAGATCATTATCACCCCCCACACAGCATAGAAAATAAGTTCCAGAGTGTACCGAGGAGTATGAGCAGGGCCAGATACCTTTTGGGACAGATCCATGATTGTCATGGAGGCTGTAAGGTCCTGAGCCACTCCCAGTAAATTAATTTCAATATAGATATTGAACTCTCCCAGCATTCCTACTCATGGAGACTCCACAACCAACCACATGGCTATCTCAATACTTCAGGAAAACATACTGTTGAACCATGGGCTAGCCAACAGATTCTTGGCTACCCACCTTTAATATACACATTCAAAACTTGCAGATTGTGGGAGAGGGCACCGATTCAGGGGACAGAATTATGAAAGGCTACCATGACTCTACATACCTGCCCCCCAGTTCTTGCCTGCTGTTGCATAGAATAATCCAATGGGCAGAACTGATAGAGATTAACTCACTCACCCAATCCAGTCTCATCCAGGCAGGTGGATGGCAGTTGTTTTGCATACACCAATCTGGCATTCATCAGCAACACCAAGGCTATCTGGAGCATTTGACCTAGAAAACAGATTTGAGGCAATGAACATTCTGTTATGCTCCCTTCTTTCATGGTGTTGAAATCCTCCTTCTGTATCTTCTTCTGCTCTCATATTATTCCAATGTCTGCTCCCTGAATTAGCCATTGAATCTGGATCTGGAAAGCACATATTGTACTGGGCAGACAAAGCAGTAGTTATTAAAAACAGCCAATACAATATACAGACAGGTATATGGTAAAAGCAGATAACAGACCTTTACCTCTCTTGGATAACATGACAACTCTTGTCTCATCAAACAAGGTGATCCCTTGTTTGGTGTTTCCACCTTTGGCAGCAACCCCATTGGTGTTGGACCTGTCCCCAGAAGAATTCTGCCTTTATGTCCCAGACAGGCAAGGCAGCAGTGCTGGATGCTGAACAGTACTTGCTAAGTCAGGATTTCAGTCCTGCAAAGAGTTGGGTCCCACTAGTGAAGCAGAAGTCCAATGACAAAGGACATTTCCTCCCTACAGCCTAAAAGAGTTTCTGTAGTCCTCACCCTCTCTGCTCAGATGCTGTTTTTCTGGTTTTTTTTTTTTCCAGACTGAAGAGAGAGAACATTTTAATTATGCAATCTTTCATGCATATATATATATATATATATATATATATATATATATATATATATATATATATACACACACACACACACACACACACACACACACACACACATACACACACACACACACATATATATATATATATATATATATATATATATATATGAAAGATTGCATAATTAAAATATATATATCCCAGAAAGCATATACCTTTGTGATTCACTATGCGTGATTTGCTTTAGTACACTTTCAAATATATTTTTCATATATCTTTATGAAAATAAGAGTATTTAAAATGGGCATTTACATTAGTACTTATTTAAATGAGGAATTAGAAATAATAAAATGTTGGAAAAAGGAAGTGAATTTGTGGGTGAACAACTCTGTGACATAAATCAAATACTCCAATTAACCTAGTTCTATTCTGCATTCAAATGTGTCATCATTCAAATGTAAATAACCTATGATAGTTTTGCTTTAGTGTCACCATGGTTTGAAAATGACATGAAAGGACAAAACAACAACAACAACAACAACAACAACAACAACAACAACAACAACACATGTATGGTGAATTAGCCAGATGTCTTTTTTTATTTTAATAAAGTTTTACAGTCTGCCTGTTTCCCCCCCAATTCAATTACTTTCATAAGTGTCAAGTATCAATATTATGATAAATTATAATGTAATGTCATTACTTGTAGTACTATCAAATTAATTTAGCTCATGGCATTTTATTTAGCTGCAATTAAAATATGATTCCTGCAAGCTCACTGTGAGTAGAGAAAATTGAATGATTGGAGGAAATTCTTTCAGTGAACTCCTGTCCTCTTCTGTTGAGAGAAAGAACATTACAGAGAGGGGATTTTTGCTTCCCCCCCCCCCCCAAGCCTAATGCTGCCTAGCCTTACCTCCATTATCAAAAAATGGTTGGGGTGTTGGCATAAAGTCAGAAATTACAGATTCCATTGGTCTGTTATAATTAGCCTGGACTGATTCCATTTTAACAATAGTTGACCTCTCACCCATGGTCTGTATTGTTTTGCTAAACTCAGCAATTTGTGTTATACTAGAATTTGGTAACTTCAATATCATGTGCCCAAGACCATCCTATCTGATGTTATGGCCACAGTGCCAAATCCCTTTAGAGTTTTTATCATTTCTTAAGTAACAAGTAGTATAAGGATCAGGGCAGCAAGCAATAAGAGCCAAACTACCTGTCTAGCATTGTGTTATTACAGCTAGGGTGAAGTAACTGCTGGGGTAATAAAGGAGTTGGAAGGTTGGAGTTTACTGAAGGTAAGAATCTTGAGAGGCTTGTGTTTTGAGGAGACTGAAGGTTGGAGTATCAAGAAGAACTGGAGTAGAAAACCAGTCTGCTGCACATAAGAAGTCTCGAGTTATCTCGAAGTATCAGAAAAAGAAGGTTGGAGAAATATTTCAGATGTCAGCCACTGTATATGGATTCTCTCTGTGTGTGTATAAAGTCTGCTGCAAAGACAAAGGTGAGAGCTTACTCCTTTATCAGAGGATGTAAGCTTCCACTGCTGTTTGTGACTACTCATATTAACCTTAATTGTGACACAAACATCCTCATGAACAATCTCTGTGTCCAATCTCTGCGTGTCACATAGACTTTAGATAGCCATTACTATGTATACAGTAGATATTGCTCATGTGCATTTTGTCTATTTCATTACTTTTACTTACTTAGGTGATCCCTCATTGTCCAAGGATAATGGTCCTCCAAGTGTAGTGTCTTGGCAGTGGGTCCGTAGGTGGCTGTGGAGCCCTATTCTTGATCTGCATGTTCTCCCGCAGGGAGGACATCAGTTTCCAGGTGGAAGGTGGTCCCGGTCTGTGTTGGCTTGACACACCTTCCCCTTGGTGCATTTCTTTCTCTCACTCTCCATTCATGCCAGCTAGAGCACTCAAAGGCCAGTACATCCCAGTGCTTGGTGTCTATGCCACAGTTTTTAAGGTTGACTTTAAGCCCATCTTTAAATCTCTTTTCCTGTCCACCAACATTATGTTTCCCATTCTTAAGCTGGGAGTGCAGTAACTTCTTTGGGAGATGATGACAACGTGGCCAGTCCAGCGGAGTTGATGGCATAGGGACATCGCTTCAGTGCTGGTGATCTTTGCTTTTTCCAGCACACTAACATTTGTCCTCCCAAGAGATTTTCAGGATTTTTCGGAGGCAATGCTGATGGAATCCTTCCAGGAGTTGAGTGTGACATTTGTAGACAGACCACATTTTGCAGGCGTATAGCAAGATTGGGTGGACAAAAGCTTTATATACAAACACCTTGGTGTTCTTATGGATGTCTCGGTCCTCAAACACTCTCTGCTTCATTCAGAAAAATGCTGTACTTGCAGAGCTCAGGCAATGTTGCATTTTAAGTGTCAATGTTGACTTTTGTGGAGAGATGGCTGCCAAGGTAGCGGAAATGGTCAACATTTTCTAACATTACACCATTATGCTATATTTCTGGCATTGCAGAGGGATTGGCTGGTGACTGCTGGAAGAGCACTTTGATTTTCTCAATGTTCATTGACAGGCCGAGCTTCTCGTGAAGGTGTTCAGAGTGGCTTGTATGTCTTCTTCTAAATGCACATAGACTATGTTATCATCAGCATATTTGAGTTCTATAACAGATGACCTTGGTTTTGATTTTCAGTCTGCTGAGCTTAAATAGCTTTCCATCTGTCCAATAGATGATTTCCACTATGATGGGAAGCTTCCCATCAACAAGATGAAGTATCATAGTGATGAAAATGGAAAATAAGGTTGGAGCAATAACGCATCCCTGTTTGACACCTGATACCGCCTTAAATGGGTCACTTTGAGTCCCATTGCTGTCCAAGACTGTTGCAATCATGTCATCATGGAGGAGCCGCATGTTCACAAATTTGTTAGGGCACCGAATTTTTTGGATTTTTTTTTTTGGATGATCCAGAGAGCACTGCGATTCACTGTCTCGAATGCCTTTACAAGGTCAATGAATGCCATGTACAGTGGTTGATTCTGTTCCTTGCAATTTTTTTTTTTTGTAGCTGTAGTACAGTGAAGATCATGTCCACTGTTTGTCTGGAGGGGCGGAAGCTGTTCTGGGATTCTGGGAGGGTGTTTTCTGAGACAGGTAGAAGGTGGTTTGCAAGGATTCTTGTGAGAATTTTCCCAGTGGAGGTTAGAAGGGAGATACTTCGATAGTTTCCACAGTGTCTTCTTTCCCCTTTTTTTGAAAGGGTGATGATGGTGGCATCCTTGAAGTCTGTTGGAATTTTCTCGCTCACCCACACTTTTTCAATGAGCTGGTGGAGTTGTTGTGTCAGCTCAGGTTCACCCTCTTTAAAGACTTCAGCAGGGATCTCATCAGATCTTTAGTAAAAAAAATGTTGGCTGATGAAATTGCTGACTTTTTCCAAACCAGCTCACCCCCGATTTATTATTGTTGAATTTGTGAGAGAACACCTTTGTCCATGTTGGAGCAGCGATTCAGGAGGTTTTGATAATGTTCTTTTCAATGTAGTGCAATTGATTTTTTCTCCTGCAGAAGTTTGGTTCCATCTGATGAGCGTAGAGTGTGTATGGCATGATTTCTTGGTCCATAGGTGGCCTTTGTGGCTCTAAAAACATCCCTGAGCATCATGGGTATCTGCAAAGTGTTGGATTACTTCAGCTTTCTTTGTCCACCAGATGTTCCTGAGTTCTCTGGTCCTTTGAACCTCAGCTTTTGCACTAGCATAGATCTTTTTCTTAGCAGTGCAGTTGGTGTGTCTCTGCTGTGTTTGGAAGACTTTCCTTTTTTATCAATTAATTGTTGGATTTCTTTGTCGTTTTGATCAAACCAATCTTGATATTTCTTAGTTTGATATCCAATGGATTCTTCACAGGCTGCTTTGATGGAGGTCTTCAGTTTGTTCCAATGTTCCTCAACATTTTCATTATATTTCTGGGATAAAATGGATCTCTCTTGGGCAGTGTTGTAAGTCAAAGACTGAAACAGGATTTAATCTTGATCAATCCTTTGGCCAAAGTTATTGCTCATTTCCAGGGCTTATCCTAATATTGTGTCCCACTTCAGTGAATACTGTGAAACTGGTATTTTAGTACTATCCAACAGGTGGAGCTGTACCTAAGAGCCAGATGCTAGCCAATAGCCAGCCAGTGTAGAATAAAATGTCTTGCTCTCCTGCTGCTTCATTTGAGAAACAATGATGCTGCAAGACATGGTCTAAAAAGTATTAGAAGCGATTTTGAAGCTCTGGGAAGAAAACTAAAATATTGTTATGTACAGGTAGGTTTTTCATCTTTCCTCCCAGTTGCACGATGCAGCCCAGGAGGATGAAAAAAAATAGTAGAGCTGAACAACTGTCTTCGCAAATGGTGTTGTCAAAAATGATTTGGCTTCCT